TCTGAGAATGAGCTGTTTTGCTGCTCGCGGTGAAGTGACAAACTCCTGCCATCTAGAGGGTGATATCCGGAACGTGTTCCAGGCAGAGAGTTTCACGGGATGAAATAAAACTAAGATCATAAGCTTGTGTCCACTTGTCTCCTTGGGGTTTCTCTAGATTTCTCCTTCTTTTTTTTTACATAAAAATGCCCAGTCAAATGAGAAGACAATTGTCACATCTGTGTATATATAAGAGTCCATTCTTCAGCAGCTCCATTCATACATGAAAGGGGATGGACAGACTAGGATAATTATTCTGAACAATATTAAAGCTTCCAGTTTGTATTTTTTCCAGTGCTGTATCATTTATTGTCATTGTGTTCTTGCATTCAGGGCTGCCTAAAACACACTAGAGTGGTCCTAGCCAGAGTGAAAGAATACTGATGATTTATGGCATTCATTAAGAAAAGAGAGAACCACACAACAAAGCTCTAACATCTCACAGAAATCATATTTCCTACCTAGGTGGTTAGTTAAATAGCACATAGCCATGGCTACTGGCAGAAGTTAAAAATGTCTTCTCTGCACGTTCTCATGAACATCCAGTTAAGTGATGATCATGAGTTTTTGTTTCTCAGCACTCCTGCTGTTTTCTGTGCCTCCCACTAACGTGGTGTGAAGGTTACAACGTGAAGGAAAACCATGATGAGCAAACAATTTGTTGTAGGAGATACAACCCTGGGCTCACAGAAGTTACAGAAGCCTTCCTGGGAAGGCTGTGGTGGCCAGTGAATATTTGCCCCTCTCACTGAGCCAAAACCACTTTCCATCACTAGTAGCAACACAACCTTCCCACCCGAGGGAATGAGTGATCCAAGCACACACAGCAGTGCCCTAGGACTGATTTATGGATGTATCAAACCCTTCCTAGGCACACAGGTGTGAAATGCACTGGAATGTGACCCACGCACTCGTCTTCATTTAAATATCCATACGATACATCTGATGATTTTCACAGGGAGCTTCCTAGGCAATATCAACCTGTGACAGTGACTTGAATAACCTCAGGCAAGACAGAGCTGTGTACAAGGGGGTTTTTTTAGTAGTATGGACATTATTTCCCGTTTATACCTACATTTCTATTCCTACAGCTGTCCAGGGAGGCTGTGGCTGCCCCGACCCTGGCAGTGTTCACAGCAAGGTTGGACAGAACCTTGAGCTCCTGCCGAGGTCCCCCGCCAAAGGGGAGCAGCGCAGCAGCATATGTCGGGTCGAGCCCTTCGAGCCAGCTGTGAAAGCAGCGCTACACTGCACTACACTACACTACGCTGCACTCCACTGCGCGGTGCGGGCTGCACCGAGACGGGGCAGGGGTACATCCCGCGGGGAAGCGTTTGGAGGAGACAGCCTGAGCCGCGGGGACTGTGATTCCCTGGCAGGTCCCACCTCCTCCCTTGTCTCTGCCTGTCCCGTGGGCGCTGACCCCCTAAAGCCTCACAGACACTCTTGGCCTGAAAGACTTGCATTTGCACCTGCTCAGACCAATTTGACTGGGATTTTCCAAGCACAAGTGGCTCATTTAAGGGCAATGGAGTCCCAACAGTCCCTAGAGCATTAGCGGCTCATAATGGTCCTTAACAGCCCTGACTGGGCGTAGCTGGAGTGACTGATTAGCTGCTGATTTTCTGGCGCTTCCCCCCGCACACCGTTCCGCGGTGTGTGCCTCGCGGGTCGCAGCACTGTGCAGCAGCTCCGCGTGCTTCCAGAGGGATGCGCTTCACCCAGCGGCAGCGAGAGCTTCCAGGAATTTTACCATCTGACAGGAGAGTGTCCAGCCACCCGAATCCGGGTTTCAGGTTCGTGTGGACTTTTATTTTTTATTGTTCTCTCCTTTTGTTCCTCAGCCTAGCGCCCGCTGAAAGCAGTGTACAAATTGCTAAGGGAACTCAGGACAAGATCCTGAAATGCTCTTTCCTGCTAAGGAAATTGCTTAAAATTGAAGAAAAATGATCTGAAGGTTAACATTCTTTCAATTATTTTAAGGAATAATAAGGATAATAATACGGAGGTTGGAGTCAGGTGGGGGTTGGTCTCTTCTCCCAGGCAACCAGCAGTGGGACAAGAGGGCACAGACTCAAGCTCTGCCAGGGGAGGTTTAGGTTGGATATTAGGAAGAGATTTTGAGAGTGCTCAGGCATTGGAATGTGCTGCCCAGGGAGGTGGTGGATTCCCCATCCCTGGAGGTTTTCAAGGTGAGACTGGATGTGGCACTTAGCCACGAGAGCGCACCAGCTGCTCTGCGCCGCTCCGTGCCTGCGCCGCCCA